TATGATAGAGCCCAGTAGGCTCAGGAACCTGTACACCAGTTGATTGACGGTTGAGAGGCGGGACCAAAGAGCCAGAGCTCAACCCCCGCAAGCACAACTAGGCGAGTACAACTAGGTGAGTACACACACACACATACTTATATTAAGTAAATTTATTAAAAGAGCCAAAGTATTATTGGGCGTGCCTTAATGACCTTGTGCTTGAGACAAAGTTCAGCAGCTTGTCTGAACAGTAACTACCCGAATATAAAGTACGTGAGTGTGACAGAGAAAGGGACGCCTCGACCCGTTCTCGCAAATTTAATAAGTCAATATTGACTTAATAAATATGTGCATAGGTGACACTTAACATAATAGTTTCCATTGAAAAGCTTCATAGAAACACCGACCTTACCTAACCTACTTAGTATGTATGTTATGCATCGTATTGCTTCGTAATTACAATTATTACCTAACCTATACCTATAATAGGTTAAGTAACAATTGTAATTACGAAGCTATAAGATGCTTACTTTAACATACTAAGTAGGTTAGGTAAGGTCGGTGTTTTCTATGAAGCTTTTCAAGGGAAACTATTATGTTTAGTATGTCACCTATGCACGCAACTAATAAGTCAATATTGACTTATTAAATTTGCGAGAACGGGTTGGACGCCTAGTGACATGTCGACCAACAAATTGGGCCACATTTATACCTGGCGCCACCAACAGCCAAACACAGGAAGAAAACTGCCTGACCGCAGCACCATGCATCAGCTGACGCCATTAACACTACATCCCGCCCTACAGTGGGCGGGATGTCCACTGTAAGTCTTGCCACTGTAAGCCAAGTCTCCCTCTGATACACGCCTCTAATCGCTGCTCCTCTATCTACACCACAAGAACACCTCGTAACTCCAAACCTCGTAATTCTCAACATTAACGCGTCTCCCAACATTTGTACTCCTTCAGTCATCGGGAGGATAAACCCTTCATGCAAACTGTACCTATTAAATATTAGCAGTGTTACTGTGAGGGGGAGGAAGTTAGGAGGGTAAGGTTAACGCTCCTTCGACGCCGGCAAGGAGCAGCCAGGCAGGGGGTGAAGCAGCAGCCAGGCAGGGGGGTGAAGGAGCAGCCAGGCAGGGGGTGAAGGAGCAGCCAGGCAGGGGGTGAAGCAGCAGCCAGGCAGGGGGGTGAAGGAGCAGCCAAGCAGGGGGGTGAAGCAGCAGCCAGGCAGGGGGTGAAGCAGCAGCCAGGCAGGGGGTGAAGGAGCAGCCAGGCAGGGGGTGAAGGAGCAGCCAAGCAGGGGGTGAAGGAGCAGCCAAGCAGGGGGTGAAGGAGCAGCCAGGCAGGGGGTGAAGCAGCAGCCAGGCAGGGGGGTGAAGCAGCAGCCAGGCAGGGGGGTGAAGGAGCAGCCAGGCAGGGGGGTGAAGGAGCAGCCAGGCAGGGGGGGTGAAGGAGCAGCCAGGCAGGGGGGGTGAAGGAGCAGCCAGGCAGGGGGGTGAAGGAGCAGCCAGGCAGGGGGGTGAAGGAGCAGCCAGGCAGGGGGGTGAAGGAGCAGCCAGGCAGGGGGTGAAGGAGCAGCCAGGCAGGGGGGTGAAGGAGCAGCCAGGCAGGGGGGTGAAGGAGCAGCCAGGCAGGGGGGTGAAGGAGCAGCCAGGCAGGGGGGTGAAGGAGCAGCCAGGCAGGGGGGTGAAGGAGCAGCCAGGCAGGGGGGTGAAGGAGCAGCCAGGCAGGGGGGTGAAGGAGCAGCCAGGCAGGGGGGTGAAGGAGCAGCCAGGCAGGGGGGTGAAGGAGCAGCCAGGCAGGGGGGTGAAGGAGCAGCCAGGCAGGGGGTGAAGGAGCAGCCAGGCAGGGGGGTGAAGGAGCAGCCAGGCAGGGGGGTGAAGGAGCAGCCAGGCAGGGGGTGAAGGAGCAGCCAGGCAGGGGGTGAAGGAGCAGCCAGGCAGGGGGGTGAAGGAGCAGCCAGGCAGGGGGGTGAAGGAGCAGCCAGGCAGGGGGTGAAGGAGCAGCCAGGCAGGGGGGTGAAGGAGCAGCCAGGCAGGGGGTGAAGGAGCAGCCAGGCAGGGGGGTGAAGGAGCAGCCAGGCAGGGGGGTGAAGGAGCAGCCAGGCAGGGGGGTGAAGGAGCAGCCAGGCAGGGGGGTGAAGGAGCAGCCAGGCAGGGGGGTGAAGGAGCAGCCAGGCAGGGGGTGAAGGAGCAGCCAGGCAGGGGGTGAAGGAGCAGCCAGGCAGGGGGGTGAAGGAGCAGCCAGGCAGGGGGGTGAAGGAGCAGCCAGGCAGGGGGTGAAGCAGCAGCCAGGCAGGGGGATGAAGCAGCAGCCAGGCAGGGGGATGAAGCAGCAGCCAGGCAGGGGGATGAAGCAGCAGCCAGGCAGGGGGTGAAGGAGCAGCCAGGCAGGGGGTGAAGCAGCAGCCAGGCAGGGGATGAAGGAGCAGCCAGGCAGGGGATGAAGGAGCAGCCAGGCAGGGGATGAAGCATCAGCCAGGCAGGGGGTGAAGGAGCAGCCAGGCAGGGGGTGAAGGAGCAGCCAGGCAGGGGGGTGAAGGAGCAGCCAGGCAGGGGGGTGAAGGAGCAGCCAGGCAGGGGGGTGAAGGAGCAGCCAGGCAGGGGGGTGAAGGAGCAGCCAGGCAGGGGGGTGAAGGAGCAGCCAGGCAGGGGATGAAGCAGCAGCCAGGCAGGGGGATGAAGCAGCAGCCAGGCAGGGGGATGAAGCAGCAGCCAGGCAGGGGGGTGAAGCAGCAACCAGGCAGGGGGTGAAGCAGCAGCCAGGCAGGGGGTGAAGGAGCAGCCAGGCAGGGGATGAAGCAGCAGCCAGGCAGGGGGATGAAGCAGCAGCCAGGCAGGGGGTGAAGGAGCAGCCAGGCAGGGGGTGAAGGAGCAGCCAGGCAGGGGGTGAAGGAGCAGCCAGGCAGGGGGTGAAGGAGCAGCCAGGCAGGGGGTGAAGGAGCAGCCAGGCAGGGGGTGAAGCAGCAGCCAGGCAGGGGGGTGAAGCAGCAGCCAGGCAGGGGGGTGAAGGAGCAGCCAGGCAGGGGGGTGAAGGAGCAGCCAGGCAGGGGGATGAAGGAGCAGCCAGGCAGGGGGATGAAGGAGCAGCCAGGCAGGGGGATGAAGGAGCAGCCAGGCAGGGGGTGAAGCAGCAGCCAGGCAGGGGGTGAAGCAGCAGCCAGGCAGGGGGTGAAGCAGCAGCCAGGCAGGGGGTGAAGCAGCAGCCAGGCAGGGGGTGAAGCAGCAGCCAGGCAGGGGGTAAAGCAGCAGCCAGGCAGGGGGTGAAGGAGCAGCCAGGCAGGGGGGTGAAGGAGCAGCCAGGCAGGGGGTGAAGGAGCAGCCAGGCAGGGGGTGAAGGAGCAGCCAGGCAGGGGGTGAAGGAGCAGCCAGGCAGGGGGGTGAAGGAGCAGCCAGGCAGGGGGGTGAAGGAGCAGCCAGGCAGGGGGGTGAAGGAGCAGCCAGGCAGGGGATGAAGGAGCAGCCAGGCAGGGGGTGAAGCAGCAGCCAGGCAGGGGGTGAAGCAGCAGCCAGGCAGGGGGTGAAGCAGCAGCCAGGCAGGGGGTGAAGCAGCAGCCAGGCAGGGGGTGAAGCAGCAGCCAGGCAGGGGGATGAAGGAGCAGCCAGGCAGGGGATGAAGCAGCAGCCAGGCAGGGGATGAAGCAGCAGCCAGGCAGGGGGTGAAGCAGCAACCAGGCAGGGGTGAAGCAGCAGCCAGGCAGGGGTGAAGCAGCAGCCAGGCAGGGGGTGAAGCAGCAGCCAGGCAGGGGGTGAAGCAGCAGCCAAGCAGGGGGATGAAGGAGCAGCCAAGCAGGGGGATGAAGGAGCAGCCAAGCAGGGGGATGAAGGAGCAGCCAGGCAGGGGGATGAAGGAGCAGCCAGGCAGGGGGATGAAGGAGCAGCCAGGCAGGGGGTGAAGGAGCAGCCAGGCAGGGGGGTGAAGGAGCAGCCAGGCAGGGGGGTGAAGGAGCAGCCAGGCAGGGGGGGTGAAGGAGCAGCCAGGCAGGGGGGGTGAAGGAGCAGCCAGGCAGGGGGGGTGAAGGAGCAGCCAGGCAGGGGATGAAGGAGCAGCCAGGCAGGGGATGAAGCAGCAGCCAGGCAGGGGATGAAGCAGCAGCCAGGCAGGGGGATGAAGCAGCAGCCAGGCAGGGGGATGAAGCAGCAGCCAGGCAGGGGATGAAGCAGCAGCCAGGCAGGGGATGAAGCAGCAGCCAGGCAGGGGATGAAGCAGCAGCCAGGCAGGGGATGAAGCAGCAGCCAGGCAGGGGGATGAAGCAGCAGCCAGGCAGGGGGATGAAGGAGCAGCCAGGCAGGGGGATGAAGCAGCAGCCAGGCAGGGGATGAAGCAGCAGCCAGGCAGGGATGAAGCAGCAGCCAGGCAGGGGATGAAGGAGCAGCCAGGCAGGGGGATGAAGCAGCAGCCAGGCAGGGGATGAAGCAGCAGCCAGGCAGGGGGTGAAGCAGCAGCCAGGCAGGGGGCGAAGCAGCAGCCAGGCAGGGGATGAAGCAGCAGCCAGGCAGGGGGTGAAGCAGCAGCCAGGCAGGGGGGTGAAGGAGCAGCCAGGCAGGGGGGTGAAGCAGCAGGGAGTCTAGGTCATCCCACAGGTGGACGCTCAATAACACACCATGAAGAGTACCGCATAATGGGTCCCTTCTCTCGCCTCACACACCAACTCGACACCAACTTTTTAAATAATAAGGATGGAGAAGAAACTATCCCGTGAACAACTTCCTGAAGGTGAACCTTAAACCAGAAGATAACCACTATCAACGATGTAGAGCTGTGAGATATTACAGGTGTAAATATGGCGTATCCTAAGCATAGACCAGACCACGTTCCAAAGCGCCTCACAACGCTAGAACACAGTAGCATGCACAGCTATCGTAAGCTGTAGGAAAGGACTTCTGATCGAAATTGTACATCACGCAAATCCAACTTGCGTAGCATGTTATGATTGTTCTAATGCATGCTCAATGTTCTGACTGTCGTCCCACAATGGACACTTTTACGCTGATGTCGTGGTCGAACATCAGCTCAGCCTGGGATGACTGGCAGCTCGCATGACTCCAGCAGGACGCATGCACTGCGGTCTGGTAGATAATTACGGTCTTAAATATACACTATGAAAGCCGGCACCTCAAATCTGTACAAGACGCCGATAAACTACGCTGCCAAAGTACACAAGAGAGCAAGGAACACCATGCAAGCGTACACGACACACTGGTACTAGTGCCCGCTTTGTTACCCGTGTGACTGGTGCTCCTCCTGTTGGTGCCGGGGGTGTAGTGATCACCAGGACTGTTGCTGCCGGGGGTGTAGTGACCACCAGGACTGTTGCTGCCGGGGGTGTAGTGATCACCAGGACTGTTGCTGCCGGGGGTGTAGTGACCACCAGGACTGTTGCTGCCGGGGGTGTAGTGACCACCAGGACTGTTGCTGCCGGGGGTGTAGTGATCACCAGGACTGATCCTGCTGTCACCTCTCTTCAGGGTGCTCTTGGGAACGGTGTGCATCTTGGCGCTTTCAATACACTTTTCATTAGATTTCTTGCTCGATACATTACTTCCTGTTGACCGTTGTCTCGAAGGTGTTCCCACAGAGCCTAAGCCTCGAGACCTGCCTTGCGACGGTCGGGTTTTTAGTGTGTGTTCTTCCATCATGCCAATGTCTCGTGGAGCGGTATTATCGACACTATTTTTTCTGCTGATGGCACCAAGTTCCCGCGAGGACCCAAATTTACTGGTGCCACGTCCTTCTGATAGCTGACCGGTGTTGCCCATATGACGATTCTTGAAGGCTGCTCTTTTTCTGTGAACACTTGCAGTAAGACTCTTATCTAGGGATTGATTGCTCGTCCACGTGTGCGATACTGGACACTTCAACGATACTGACTGGTTCCTTTTGGTGGGTGAACGTTTGATGTTGAGACTAGAAGCGCCGCCACTAGGTTTGGAGACAGAGGATGAGGTAGATGTGGTGACCAACCGTCTTATCTCCGTCTTGCATGCCGGGCTTGATATCTTGTCTATCACACTGCGCTGTTTGCGATCATCGGCTCTACTAGAAAACTTCTTACTGCTTGGACTGTTCTTTGCACTGCCATTACTTCCTGAGATCCTTCTCCTAGTGGCGATTGAACTTCCACTCAGTGGAGTACTCGTGGACGGAGTAGCACTTGTCCTGGTGAGAACTGAAGCACGCGGTGGAGTGCCTAGCTTTGGCGTACTGACCATACCAGCTGGTATCTGGTGTCTGAAGGTGCGGTCAGGGCGGCGGGGTCCTGGCAGCCTGTTGCAGCTTCCCTGTGGTGACCCGGATAAACTAGAAGACCTTTTCCGACAAGAAACTCTGTCCTGTTTTATAATAAGAGATTTACTATGGACGTCCTTCGTGGGTCTCGACCGAGTGGTGCTTCTGAGTGCCGGCCCGCGCCTGAGAGAGAGCGCCCCCCGAGTGCTGGTTGTGGCCCGGGGGACGACAGGTCGCCTAGGGACTGAGGGATTGATGCTGGAGACGCCCGGAGGACTGTCGGGGGTGTCCCCCACCTCGCTGGTCTCCGTGGGCGGGCAGACATCTTGGTTGGGGCGGCGGGAGAGCGCTGCCACACTCGTGTTGCTGTGGCGGGAACATTAAAATCTAACTTACTGCCAAATGAAATATTTCTTCCTCACATAGAACTGACACCTAGCCAAAATTAATGGTGCATAATATACAACGCTAATTCACTGTGTGAGTTTTAACTAATGACTTCAATACACAATTAAATTTCTAGAAGTATATAAAACAATGTATTTTTGTAAATAAAATTATGTAAATGGTACAGTCTGGAAAAGCACTTCACACGGCATTTCGCCAGATCTTGAAGCTAACACACTACATGATATTAGTATATGGAGTATTTGCAGTAATTTTATATCAGTAAATTTTAAACTAGAGTAAGCACTTAATACTTGTGGTCATATAATAGTTAACATGTGGGCAGATACAAGCCATTAAAATATAGATAATGTCTACTCATAGCAGGAGTACTCAAGGTGGGTGGTGGTCAAGTGTATTGAGGGAAGTGTCATTGTTAGATAATACAGTACTAGGTGATTAGCAGAACAAGGCTCCCAGAACAAGGCTCCGAGAACAAGGCTCCGAGAACAAGGCTCCGAGAACAAGGCTCCGAGAACAAGGCTCACAGAACAAGCAGACGCGATCTATTAATGGTCTGCATGAGGAGATAATCAATATGTCGATGGATTTCTAGGAAACACTATATTTCTTGGTGACGTGATGAATTATGATGACTGTGTCACACCCGCCGCACTCTCCACCCCTCCCCCCCCCCAACACCCGCCGCCCTCTCCACCCCTCCCCCCCCCCAACACCCGCCGCCCTCTCCACCCCTCCCCCCCCCCAACACCCGCCGCCCTCTCCACCCCTCCCCCCCCCCCCAACACCCGCCGCCCTCTCCACCCCTCCCCCCCCCCAACACCCACCGCCCTCTCCACCCCTCCCCCCCCCAACACCCGCCGCCCTCTCCACCCCTCCCCCCCCCAACACCCGCCGCCCTCTCCACCCCTCCCCCCCCCAACACCCGCCGCCCTCTCCACCCCTCCCCCCCCCCCCCAACACCCGCCGCCCTCTCCACCCCTCCCCCCCCCAACACCCGCCGCCCTCTCCACCCCCCCCCCCCCAACACCCGCCGCCCTCTCCACCCCTCCCCCCCAACACCCGCCGCCCTCTCCACCCCTCCCCCCCAACACCCGCCGCCCTCTCCACCCCCTCCCCCCCCCCCCAACACCCGCCGCCCTCTCCACCCCTCCCCCCCCCCAACACCCGCCGCCCTCTCCACCCCCCCCCCACCAACACCCGCCGCCCTCTCCACCCCCCCCCACCAACACCCGCCGCCCTCTCCACCCCCCCCCACCAACACCCGCCGCCCTCTGCACCCCCCCCCCCCAACACCCGCCGCCCTCTGCACCCCCCCCCCCACCAACACCCGCCGCCCTCTGCACCCCCCCCCCCCCCACCAACACCCGCCGCCCTCTCCACCCCCCCCCAATACCCGCCGCCCTCTCCACCCCCCCCCAATACCCGCCGCCCTCTCCACCCCCCCCAATACCCGCCGCCCTCTCCACCCCCCCCCCCCCCCCCCCAACACCCGCCGCCCTCTCCACCCCCCCCAACACCCGCCGCCCTCTCCACCCCCCCCCCAACACCCGCCGCCCTCTCCACCCCCCCCCAATACCCGCCGCCCTCTCCACCCCCCCCCCCAATACCCGCCGCCCTCTCCACCCCCCCCCAATACCCGCCGCCCTCTCCCCCCCCCCAATACCCGCCGCCCTCTCCACCCTCCCCAATACCCGCCGCCCTCTCCACCCTCCCCCCCCCCCCAATACCCGCCGCCCTCTCCACTCCCCCCCCCCCCCCAACACCCGCCGCTCTCTCAACCCCCCCCAACAGCCGCCGCTCTCTCCACCCCCCCCCAACACCCGCCCCCCTCTCCACCCCCCCCAACACCCGCCGCCCTCTCCACCCCCCCAACACCCGCCCCCCTCTCCCCCCCCCCCCCCCCCCCAACACCCGCCCCCCTCTCCACCCCCCCCCAACACCCCCCCCCCTCTCCACCCCCCCCCCAACACCCGCCGCCCTCTCCACCCCAACACGGTACAGGAGACACAACACGGTACAGGAGACACAACACGGTACAGGAGACACAACACGGTACAGGAGACACAACACGGTACGGGAGACACAACACGGTACGGGAGACACAACACGGTACGGGAGACACAACACGGTACGGGAGACACAACACGGTACGGGAGACACAACACGGTACGGGAGACACAACACGGTACGGGAGACACAACACGGTACGGGAGACACAACACGGTACGGGAGACACAACACGGCACGGGAGAGACAACACGGTACAGGAGAGACAACACGGTACAGGAGAGACAACACGGTACAGGAGAGACAACACGGTACAGGAGAGACAACACGGTACAGGAGAGACAACACGGTACAGGAGACACAACACGGTACAGGAGACTCAACACGGTACAGGCGACACAACACGGTACAGGAGAGAACACGGTACAGGAGAGAACACGGTACAGGAGACACAACACGGTACAGGCGACTCAACACGGTACAGGTGACAACACGGTACAGGAGACTCAACACGGTACAGGGGAGACAACACGGTACAGGAGACAACACGGTACAGGAGACAACACGGTACAGGAGACACAACACGGTACAGGAGACACAACACGGTACAGGAGACACAACACGGTACAGGAGACACAACACGGTACAGGAGACACAACACGGTACAGGAGACACAACACGGTACAGGAGACACAACACGGTACAGGAGACACAACACGGTACAGGAGACACAACACGGTACAGGAGACTCAACACGGTACAGGAGACTCAACACGGTACAGGAGACACAACACGGTACAGGAGACACAACACGGTACAGGAGACAACACGGTACAGGAGACTCACAACACGGTACAGGAGACACACAACACGGTACAGGAGACACACAACACGGTACAGGAGACACAACACGGTACAGGAGACACAACACGGTACAGGAGACACACAACACGGTACAGGCGACACACAACACGGTACAGGCGACACAACACGGTACAGGTGACACAACACGGTACAGGTGACACAACACGGTACAGGCGACACAACACGGTACAGGCGACACAACACGGTACAGGAGACACAACACGGTACAGGAGACACAACACGGTACAGGAGACACAACACGGTACAGGAGACACAACACGGTACAGGAGACACAACACGGTACAGGAGACACAACACGGTACAGGAGACACAACACGGTACAGGAGACACAACACGGTACAGGAGACAACACGGTACAGGAGAGACAACACGGTACAGGAGAGACAACACGGTACAGGAGAGACAACACGGTACAGGAGAGACAACACGGTACAGGAGAGGCAACACGGTACAGGCGAGACAACACGGTACAGGAGAGACAACACGGTACAGGAGAGACAACACGGTACAGGAGAGACAACACGGTACAGGAGAGACAACACGGTACAGGAGAGACAACACGGTACAGGAGAGACAACACGGTACAGGAGAGACAACACGGTACAGGAGAGACAACACGGTACAGGAGAGACAACACGGTACAGGAGACAACACGGTACAGGAGACAACACGGTACAGGAGACAACACGGTACAGGCGACTCAACACAGTATAGGAGACAACACGGCACATGCGACAGAACACGGTACAGGCGACAGAACACGGTACAGGAGACACAACACGGTACAGGAGACAACACGGTACAGGAGACACAACACGGTACAGGAGACACAACACGGTACAGGAGACACAACACGGTACAGGAGACACAACACGGTACAGGAGACACAACACGGTACAGGAGACACAACACGGTACAGGAGACACAACACGGTACAGGAGACAACACGGTACAGGAGACACAACACGGTACAGGAGACGCAACACGGTACAGGAGATGCAACACGGTACAGGAGACACAACACGGTACAGGAGACGCAACACGGTACAGGAGACGCAACACGGTACAGGAGACAACACGGTACAGGAGACGCAACACGGTACAGGAGAAACAACACGGTACAGGAGAGACAACACGGTACAGGAGAGACAACACGGTACAGGAGACACAACACGGTACAGGAGACACAACACGGTACAGGAGACACAACACGGTACAGGAGACGCAACACGGTAGAGGAGACGCAACACGGTACAGGAGACAACACGGTACAGGAGACACAACACGGTACAGGAGAGACAACACGGTACAGGAGACACAACACGGTAGAGGAGACGCAACACGGTACAGGAGACAACACGGTACAAAAGAGACAACACGGTACAGGAGACACAACACGGTACAGGAGAGACAACACGGTACAGGAGAGACAACACGGTACAGGAGACACAACACGGTACAGGAGACACAACACGGTACAGGAGACAACACGGTACAGGAGACACAACACGGTACAGGAGACACAACACGGTACAGGAGACAACACGGTACAGGAGACGCAACACGGTACAGGAGACGCAACACGGTACAGGAGATGCAACACGGTACAGGAGAGACAACACGGTACAGGAGACGCAACACGGTACAGGAGACGCAACACGGTACAGGAGACGCAACACGGTACAGGAGACGCAACACGGTACAGGAGACAACACGGTACAGGAGACAACACGGTACAGGAGACGCAACACGGTACAGGAGACAACACGGTACAGGAGACAACACGGTACAGGAGACAACACGGTACAGGAGACGCAACACGGTACAGGAGACAACACGGTACAGGAGACGCAACACGGTACAGGAGACAACACGGTACAGGAGACACAACACGGTACGGAAGAGACAACACGGTACAGGAGACGCAACACGGTACAGGAGACGCAACACGGTACAGGAGACAACACGGTACGGAAGAGACAACACGGTACAGGAGACGCAACACGGTACAGGAGACGCAACACGGTACAGGAGACGCAACACGGTACAGGAGACAACACGGT